TAGATGAGTAAAAGATTTTTCAAGTAAAAGTAAAGAAAACATTTATCATATTTGTTTTTTGTTTTTTTAAAATTAAATTACATGAAATTATATAAATAATGGTATGCAAAGAGATCCCTTTTTGTCCTGAAAAAAAACATATATAATTTGGATGGGAACAGTAAATGAGAGAGCGGAAAATTACAGCTAAACACAAACACCACAAAAGTGTAAAAAGAGGCCTGGTCACAAATGTACAACAACGCACAAACAGTCCGGTCCTTAAGGGGTTATACAAGTTGTGATTAAAACAAAACGTGAACAAAACCTGGCATCTGCGCTATGTCTGCCCAACCATAATTCACTTCTTTCGTATTAAATGCACCCACACTATCATTTTGTTCAGAAGAAACAGGACTTTCATGTCACATCAAATATTTATATATTAAACAATTTAATATGAATGAAATCTAAAAAAAAAAATCAAAAAGATTTTTTAATTTCTTTAGTACTCAATGGCATTTTAACTGTGAATTTCATAATACTGTTAGCTGGTACTGCAATAAAATGCACATATTTGTATTCAGTGAGGTCTCACAAGCAAAATAGTAACCATGTACAGGTTTTATAGTGTTTTGGAAAGTTACAAGGTCAAATTTAGCACATTAATTATTTTAGTTTATACACTTTGAAATTTGCCAGACTGTTTATGTTTTTCACACACAAACGGCACTTTCACTGACAATATAATTGTTGTAATAAGTTGAAATGTTTGGAAACACTAATATTTATGTTCAGCGAAGTCTAAATATATAACAGTACCAGTCATGTACAGGTCTTATGTTGTTTTCAAAAGTTACAGAGTATAATATAATACTTGCATTTGCATTTTTTTCAAAATAAAATTCGCCAGATTGGTTATGTTGCCTTTGAGACCGTATGGTAGCCTAGGAATGAAAAGTACCCCAATGATAGTATACCATTTGCAAAAGTAGACAACCCAAGGTATTATAAATGGGGTATGTCCAGTCTTTTTTAGTAGCCACTGTGTGCAAAAAATGCAAAAAAACTGATTTGAACGATAATTTTAGCCAGTTATTTGCAATAACTTTGGTTGTCTACTTTTGCAAATGGTATGCCATCATGGGGGTAATTCTCATTCCTAGGCTTCAATACGGTCTCAAAGGCAACATAACCAATCTGGCGAATTTTATTGTGAAAAAATGCAAATGCAAGTATTATATTACACTCTGTAACTTTTGAAAACAACATAAGACCTGTACATGGCGGGTACAGTTATACTCAAAAGACTTTGCTGAACACAAAAATTAGTGTTTCCAAACATTTCAACTTATTACAACAATTATATCGTCAGTGAAAGTGCCCTTTGTGTGTGAAAAATGCAAAAACTGCGCTTTCACATACAATATCATTTTTGTGATATGGTTTATGGTTTTGAAACACTAATATTTGTGTTCAGCAAAGTCTATCGAGTAAAAAAAAAAAACTCTATGTACAGGTTTTATAATGTCTTGGAAAGTTACAGGGTAAAATAAAGGGCTTGCGAGCCATATTCTCTGGACTTTCTGCCTGCGTTGTCAGGCATGTCCCTCAAATTTTAATTAATAAAATGACTTAATCATGTAAAAAAAATATATATATATATATAGAATTTATATATGTATTTATATATAAATATATCGATATATATATATATATATATATATATATATAGATAGATATATCTATTTATAATGCCATTCTAAATGTATTTTGATTTAAATATATATGTATATTAATATCAAAATACAGTTAGAGCGAAAGTGTACAGGTATATCATTTTTAAAAATTTTAATATTTTTTATTTTTTCATTACTTTAAATTTTCTTTTTGAATATATATATATATAATGTCATATCTATCTATATCTCTCTCTCTCTAAATATATACACATATATTTAACGTCATTGTAAGTGTATTTTAATTATATATATATATATAAAAAAAATATATATATATATATGTATATTTTAATATTAAAATTCACTTAGAATAATAGTTAATGTGCATATAAGAGTACTTAAATTAAAGTATTTTAATATACTTTATTAAACTTTTACTTACTTTTATAACTTTTTTACAGGCATCAGGGGGACAGCATGAGAGCTAAGGCAGTCACTCTCCTGGCACTGCATGAGCCGACTATTCCGGCCATGTGTTTGCAAGGACAACGCTATCCGGCATTTAGGACCACCCAAAAAACAATGGCATAGAATGCCCACTGTCCTTAAGGGGTTAATCTTCATTTCTAATAAATGATTAAACACATTGTTATTGTTCATAGTTGAACAGCATTGATAGGGCGAGATGGTCAACTGATGCTCAATCTATCAATGCCGTCCAAAAATGGATGAAATTGATATTGCTAATGCAAGTGAGGGCCCAGGCCACTGGTGCATTGGAAACCATTAGTTTTTATAAGGCAGCTCCAATGGTTTAACATAAGTGAAGGATTCTTCTTGTAACACCACAACTACTACCGTGGCTTTTTTGCCCAGTGTAGATACCAGTTTGCAAATCCTGAAAGAACCTTCAGTGTGGTACAATATTTTTTAAGTAACTGTTGACCTAAGCAATTGAGCTTAGAAAATAAGGATAGGGGTGCTCCTTGCATAACCAATGCAAGAAGCATGAGTTCTTATGGTTACTAGCATTCTTGTAACATCCCATTAACAGAGAAATAAAATACCAAAACACTCTGTAGGTTTTAAATCAATAAATAGATTTATTAAGCAATTCTATATTTGCTACATAATATTTTATACTGGAAACACAGAAGTCCGCATGTGCTGTTTTAATATCTCCAGTCAACCTCATCTTTTAATTCCAAGGCAGCATATTTTAAATGTAGATCCCATCATCATTAACAAGGCATGTTTCACAGTGCCCTCGGAGAAGACAACAGCTGCAAGATATCCTCCTTAAAAAGATCATGTCTGCACTATGGCGTTCAGCACATTTCCAGTCATAGAAATGGAAGGGATTATAATAATATTCATCACATGGTACGGTGGGTGGACCCTCTGGACAGTCCTCATCACTAGATTCATCGTGATCTCCACGATCCCAGGCATGGCAATAAGCCAGCTCCCGGGCAGCAGAGTAAGAGCTGGACTGAGTGTCTGACAAATATCCATCCTGCAGGCCGTTTTCTCTATCTTCCAACTCTTCTTCATTGGCTGCATAGGCTTGTGAACCACCCACTGCTGAAAGGGATCCATCTGAAATGAGAATAAAGAAATGTAAGTTTATCATTTATACTTTAAACTAGATGTGCAACAAATCAGTTGAACTTTTTTGATCTTATGTTTTAGATTATTTTTTTCTTAAACTGCATGATCAAATAGATCAAATATTACTAAATATAACATTTAGACCAATAAATGGTAAAGGTGCAAAGGAATTATCTCATAAAATTTCTGAAGTATGCTTATCCTCTAAGGTACACCACTATAGTATTATATTGAGAATACTTTGTAATTGTTTTACAGCTCTGCATTTATACTGAATCAGTTACTAGTATCTGTATACTCAGTAAGATATATATATATATATATATATATATATAAGAAGAGAATTCTTGGCACTCACCCTTAATATTTCAAAAACTGTTGTAGTATTGCCTGGGTGCAATCCTTAGCGTTTAAAATATATATATATATATATATATATATATATATATATGTATTAAGGCAATTTGCCTGCATTTGTGGGAGGTGCTGGTTTTCCACCCCTAACCTACTTAAGGCACTCCCCTTGCCTGGCTCCTTACCGTTCGAGGTCAGCGTTGAATGAGGATCCACTTCCGGGTTCTCTCAGACGCCATCTTGGTTTCAGTATCCAGGAGGTTTCACCACGTTAAGCTGTGTCCAGGAATCCTGTTCAGGCCTTTCCGCCCGTCCAGCTTCTTCTGACTCCGTTCTCCGTCGTAGATCGCGTCCCAGGGACTCCTAAACCGTAAGTCAGACCTTCCTGTCACGCCAGGACTGGTTCCCACGGCGTACGGTACAGCACGGGTCCTCGCTTTACGGCTTTTCCCTGGTTATGACACGAATGTTTTCAAGCCATTCGCTGGCTTTTCATTTCGTACGGTCTTTCGGCTGATCATGTTTTCAATCGTTCAATAGTCATTTCGCATATCCTATTCATGTTATTTAAACGAATGTTCATTCGGTTGTTTTGCCGTTCGGCAAATGTTACATACGCTCACACACACTTTGGTTCGCATAAATCATGCGGTTAAACTATTCTAACTTCTGTGTTCCCCTCACATTTGCTTTCGGCTGTTCTGTGTGTTCACGTTTTAATCCTTTCATGAATTATACTCACCATTTCATGTGTATATAACATTCGGTTAAGTATTGCTTGCTTAAATAGATTGTTGATTACTTTTAACAATTGTCAGTATTGTATTACGTCCACAAACCAAGTCCACTTCTCTGTGTATACCATTTGACTCCCACGCTTTCAGGGGTCTGCATTACTTATCCATTTATACGTATGGACTCAGCCATGTCACAAGCCTCATTTCTGGGTTATTAATACAATACATACAAGGATAGGTTCATTTAAGCAATAATTCTCGGGTTGATACGTCTTTGCTATACATACATATCATATAGATCTACATCACTTTACATCATGCTTCCATGTCCCTTTCTATAAAACCAGTTACATTTCGGTACAGGTCATTGAACTCCCACGCCAGGAGTTTTATAACTATCCATTTCATTTCAATTTACTCAGCCTACATTACAGGCCTCATTTCTCTGTCATGACGATGACACACAAGGCATAAGTCCTTTTGCATGCATACTCGGGTTGGATCACACGTCCTGATCCAACCAATCATACGTCCCCTACACAGTCATATACATATGTATATAACCTACGTTTCATGTTTTCCTTTACACACCATTATCACGTAACACATAGATTGTTTGTACATAGGCCACGGCCTCCCTCAGATGTCTTTTTCAAGCATGCAAACATTTCTGAGCCACTCATAGCTATTCCCATGGTATCAACATAATTTTATACATTGCTGCTACAGACTATAAGTCTGGTTCTTGTTACACCCCACACTCATCGTACTACTCTCTTTTACCCATTTTTAGGCTGTCGAGCTTATATAATTGCTCCACACGGTTTATTCCTGTGATTTATCATACTACCAGGTACGTACACCTGCTCATATGGTATTCTACCATACATTTCATTTCATCCCCCTAGTTTAGAGTACTGGCAATAGGGTCACAGGATTCCCAATAGGTATTTACCCCGTCTTGGCTGTCGCCATCAGTTAGTGGTCCCGCGAGGCCAACACCCCGCCTCAAACGTTTCGGAGGCAAACACCCATCGGGCCACACGTTAGCTAGCCACCTCGCATGTTGCAAAGAGAGGGCCTCACCTGTCACTCCCTTCCCCTGTTTTCTGTCGTACAGTCACCGAGAGGCCTAAAACTCCTGCCACTACGTCAAGTGGCCTCAATAACCCCTCGCGCCAACGCATAGATAGAGCCTCTCAAGCCGCTTGGCAATTAGTAGGGCCTCACCTGTCACCAAACAAGCATAATACTTTCGCCATCCGGCCTAGCTAGCCTGCCAGTACAATTTGGTGGTTCTATATACTAATTATTGTTTTATTTATAGTATGTCTCAGGAAGGGGTAGAGGATTTCTCCCTGCCTAGCACCCCGGCTAGAGCTGTCACTCCCACACAAGGAGGAGAGCTAGCTAGTCCAGCATCAATTAGATCCTGGACAATCCCGCGCATAACCACGGAATTAAGGAGACGACAAATCCCCTACCCCGCTACAGCAAGGAAGGCAGAACTTTTCAAACTGCTACGCACATCAACCAATAACATGGAAGCCGGGGAAGGATCTAGCCAGTCCAACCCAGGGGACATACATGCCATGTTATCCTCACTCATGGCATCCATGGGCAAGGTCAACTCCAGGCTGGAGAAACTTGAGTCGGTCACCACGGCCCTCACTCTAGCAGGGCCACCCGCGGCTGCAGTACAAACACCAGCCTTGCCATTAGTCGCTCCAGCCAGCCCCCTGGATGACCAGGAAGTTAGCCCGGCCCACATGATACCTGAGCATATCAAAAGGGATATCCTGGAAGGTAAAGACGTCAACCTGGCTTCCCTGTTGATTGCCTCCCAGGACATTGTGGAACATAAGACGTATGCTTATGATGATGTTTCTGTTATTGTCAGATCTAGGGATGCCCGCCTGAACAGGAAACTGACTATCCCTGAATTTGTTCTAGCATTTGGTATTTACAGGGATGTCGTCTGTGCGGTCTATCCCAACAGAAGAGAGGAGTTCGATCTCTATATGCACAAGCTGGTAGACCTGGGCAACAAATATGGTGGTTCAGCATTCTATGACTACCATAGGTCTTTTTCTGCAAAAGTGGCTGGAGCCTTCTCCCAGTACGGTACACGGTCCAACTGGGGAAGGATTGATACCGTCTTATTCTGCAGACACTTTGCAGGTCTAAGAACACCAGCTTGTGCATACTGCTCCTCCACAGCCCATACTACTAATTTTTGTCCAAACACGGCAGACGGACATGCCTCCACACAAGGAACTACTTCCTCTGGGGATCCAGGGAAACTATCCACAGACAAATTGGGACGCCCAATCAAGTTTCTGGGCAAGTCCCAGATATGTAATAATTTCAATGTTGGGTCTTGTAATTACAATGGATGTAGACTATTGCATGTCTGTTCAAAATGTTTTAGGGCACATGCTAAGACCATGTGTCCAAATAAAATGTATTCTAAGCCTTACCTTACGTCCATTAATATGCCAGTATTCACAGCATTGATGTCTCAGCACCCATCTAGACACCTGGTAGATTTTCTTATTTCTGGTTTGACAGAAGGCTTCCACACAGGTATCCTACACATACCAGCTGGCACTCTGGAATGCCCAAACCTACAATCCGCCCAACACAACCCCACAGTGGTTGACACCCTCATAAACCAAGAAGTGGAGGAGGGCTTTGTATTGGGGCCTTTTAGAACTCCCCCATTCACAGAATGGCGCACCAACCCTATTGGTATTGTCACAGGGAAATCTTCCCAAAAACAGAGACTCATCATTGACTTATCGGCTCCCCACTCATCGGCCAACCCCAGTCTTAATTCCCTCATACCCTCTGAGGAATTCTCTCTGCAATACACCACCATAGATCACGCCATTACAGCCATCATACAAGCAGGGGTGGGAGCCTGGCTCAGTAAGACCGACATTACTAACGCCTTCAAATTACTCCCTATCCACCCCACACTGTGGCACCTGCATGGCATCAAGTGGTCCGAGAACTACTATTTTTTCTCCCGGTTAACTTTTGGGTCCAAAAGTAGCCCAGCTATTTTCGACACATTTGCCGAAGCACTATGCTGGTTACTATTGAACATAGCCGGATGCCCTACAGTATTACATTATTTGGACGATTTCCTACTGGTCGAGGAGAATACTGCACCTCCCACTAGCCTCAAAGCTACCACTAAGCTGTTTGAACAACTAGGTGTACCCATCTCCCCAAAGAAAACAGAAGGGCCAGACACGGTTATCACTTTTCTGGGTATCCAGTTAGACTCTGCCACAATGCAAGCAAGCCTACCTTACGAAAAGATAGACAATATTCTCACTTACATAAACAACTACCTACAGCTCGGCACTTGCAACCGCAAAGAACTACAGTCCCTGCTGGGGTCACTAAATTTTGCAATGCGCATCATACCTCAAGGCCGCTCCTTTATTTCACGACTATTGCATCTTTTCCCACTTTTTCTACATGACACGCACAGGTTGTCCTTAGATGCCCAAGCTACGGCAGATCTAAACATGTGGAAGAGGTTTTTAACCACTTGGAATGGTAAAAGTATGTTCCTCCCTCAATTGACTGAATCATCTCCTACCATTTGGTCAGATGCGGCATCTACCACTGGTTTTGCAGCAATTTTTGGGAACGAATGGCTTTGGGGCAGCTGGCCTTCAGCAGTTCTGGATTTGGAAGGTTTTTCCACTACCTCAGCTCTTTTTGAGATCTACCCCATAGTGGCGGCTGCCGTAGCGTGGGGTCATTTATGGGCTAATACGCCAGTGCGTTGTTACTCAGACAACCAGGCGACCTGTCACATCATCAACAAAGGTCGTTCCAAATCTCTTACGATTATGAGATTTCTGAGGAAACTCACTTGGTTGGCAGCTTGTCATAATTTCTTCCTATGTTGTTTTCATGTGCCAGGTGTATACAACACAGCTGCTGACAGTTTGTCTCGCTTTAAATTTCAGGAGTTTCATCAAGCACTCCCGTCAGCAGCACCCACAGCCACCATCACTCCAACATTTCAACAACTCATACTGGACTAGACGTCATCATGCAGCATAGCAGGACATTGTCTCAGTTGGCACTTTCACACAATACAAACAAAACATACAACAGGGCTTTCACACTATTCAAACGATTCCTTCTGGAACATAACATCATACAACCGTTTGTTATGACATCTTTTTTGGGGTTTGCTTCCTTTTGCCACCTTAAACTCAGATTGTCATATAACACCATCAAACTCTATCTCACTGGCATTCAACACCACATGCTCATCTTACACCCAAATTACAACAGTTTCATGGCCTCTCACCAAATTAAGACCATACTCAGAGGTATTCAAAAATCAGAACCCACACATTTGGCCCAGAGGCTGCCCATAGATAACCATATCTTCAAAGCTTTATCTAACCTACTCGACCTGAAACCATTTGACACTAATACGAATTCTATCATCAAAACAGCAATATACATCGCTTTCTATGGATTTCTACGACCCAGAGAATTCACTACGACCTCCACGACCCAAACCACTCCATTCCTCCTCTATTCCCACTTGACAAAACATATGGATCATTACATCCTGTCTTTACCTCACTCCAAAACCAGCCAGCACATACCTGTAAACATTCCGTACTACCCCACGCACAACAGATGGTGTCCCGTAAAAGTTCTTGATGCCTACATACAGCACCATCACTTACTGCCCTCGCAACCGTTATTACAACTACAAGGTGCAGTACTCACCACTACAACCTTCATGACCTACGTCAGGTCCTTGCTCACACAACTGGGCCTCAACGCAAACAATTACTCAGGACACTCCTTTCGTATAGGAGCCGCGTCCACAGCCTCCCGTTTCAACGTCCCAACTCATGTTATCAAAACACTGGGGCGCTGGAAGTCATCCGCTTACTCACGGTACATACCGAACCCAGTACAAGAGTTAAGAGATGCTATCATAAACATGTCTGGTTGATAAATGTATAGGTATTGGTTGTCTGTTAATAAATTGGATTACTTAATTTTTGCCCTCTTCTTTCTCAGGCCTACCTCATCGTCGGTTTCGGCACACCACAACCGACTTGCTCCTTTTATCATCCTACGCTTATTCATGGTATTTCACACTGTACTATCTTAAGCACCTAACACAAGTATTAAGGCAATTTGCCTGCATTTGTGGGAGGTGCTGGTTTTCCACCCCTAACCTACTTAAGGCACTCCCCTTGCCTGGCTCCTTACCGTTCGAGGTCAGCGTTGAATGACCCTCCCACCACACCACTTTTAACATTTATTTTCCTTTCTATTTCTTTTCCTGGGTGGGCCCTCTTCTTTCTCAGGCCTACCTCATCGTCGGTTTCGGCACACCACAACCGACTTGCTCCTTTTATCATCCTACGCTTATTCATGGTATTTCACACTGTACTATCTTAAGCACCTAACACAAATATATATATATATCTCAAAGCAAATAACTCAGCTTACCATCTTCACTTTTTTTACATACAGTCATAGCAGAAGTTCCTATTGGTGAAATATTGATTAATGTATAATACCTCTAAAGGATCCTTCATCCAGTTGTGTTGCTTTTTCCTCTTGGACAAAATTAGTATCATGTAAATCCTCAAGCTCAGAGTGAGAACAGTCACCATCACATCCTCCATATTCCTCACTGATGTTGGCTTTCTCCATTGTGTCCTTACAAACAGAGTAAAGATGATCTATAGCTTGTTCAGGTTCCTCTCAGCTATGTGTCTCCTTTCACAGGGTCTGCTCCTTTTATTAGAACAAAGTGGGAGGATCCACTGGATGCCTGAGGTGGTTGACCAATAAGAAAATGGCTTTTCTGGCTCTGGCTGTTTATGTTTAAGAGATCATTGTTTTTGAACAATAGGTTGAGATAAGCATTCCTGAAAGTTGTATGTTTTAAGTTTTCTATCTTTTAATATTCCAAAACAATTTCTCGTAGAACCAAGGATTATCATACCAATATTTGATCATTTACACCATAAAAAAATAAGCTAATTTTTACATATAATAACATTGTGTAAGATATTTCTGCCCAGCCCTTTTTATCTGGGCTATAACATAAAAAAAATAGAATTTTAATCTAATGATGTTTATTAAATCATAAAAAGGAACAGACAAAATCTATGGCAGTTTACCCCGTACAAGGAAATTGGTAAACATATAACAAGCCTGACTACATATCCTTAAATGCAAAGGAACTTGTATTGTAACTTATTGTAGAAGATGACTTGAGAAAAAACCAAAAACCTTACACTGATATTAGAAACAAAAATATGTAGAATCTGAAAAGTTGCACAATAGCAAATATCATTCAGGTTTAGCTTGTGTACAGTTAATACAGAAAATGTAATGCCTAAACGTATGTGCAGCAAAGCATATGTCAAATATTGGCATTCTTTTATGGTATTATATAAAGCAATAATTTAAATGGATCATTTATTCAATAGTATCAGAATAGTTATTTTCATTAAAGTAGTTTTGTCACCGCCCTGTAAACCTGGTCTATGGAAGATACTGCACTATAGTGGGATTCAACATAGACCTGTGTGTTATACTCTTGTACATACAATAGAGTATGACATTGAACAAAAATGGTGACTTCTGTGTGTCTATATATTATAAATGTGTGCATTTATAGCCAGTGAATCACTTGTTGGTTCCAAGTGCAAGAAACAGCCATGAAATATCTGCAGCTCAGCCTACTGCTTACAGAAATGAATACCCAGTACTGTATAACCGAACCTACAGCAATCATTCAGAATAACATCTGTTATTTAAAAACTCTGTATAAAACAGGTTTCTCATCAGCATGAAAAAATATACTACAGCTAGTAGTTTAATTTAGGTGTACAAATATGTATTCCAATCCCTACAGTGTTCATTTAAACATTCAAAACTTTTAACAAACTGAAAGCACAACCACATTTCTGAAATCATGCTAACAAAAAAGTTTCAGGAAAATGCAAAGTTAGGATATAAAGTAATTTGATTAATTGTTGCCAATTTACAATACATTAATAGATATTTGCATATAATGTAATTCTAACATGTAATGTACTTATTGTCCCTTATGCATTTAAAAAGTTTCAGTATTCAATTTTTCCCTTGTGTCAAGGTGATTCAATGCGTACACAATACACTTTAAGATGCATCTACAAGATCTTGTTTGGATGGAAATAATCTTTTTAATTATGTCTATTTTGAATTGTCTGCTTAGCCAAAACACTTTTATCTTAAACATTTACATGGTTTCTACATCCAAAGGGTATGGATCTGGAGACATAGATGTAGATCTGAGTGTAAATCTCCTGCAAGTTCAGTTCCGAACAAAACTGGGGTCCTCGTCTTGAATAGATTTGTAAGATTAAAGGGAAACTGTCATGCACCTTTCAGTTTTCAATTGCTCATCAATTTTCATCAATAACAAACTATGTTCTTTTTACTTTTGAAGCCATTACAGAGCTAGCCAGCCACAGCAACTTAAACTTTGTAACCAAACATACATTTGCATTTTATAATTAATAATTTTTTACAGCTCTACGGAATGTGATGGTGCTACATAAATAATGGAATAATATTATATAAAAATTATGGGGGAAGTACTAAAGTATTGTGTACTTTTTTTTCCCTAATGTTTTTTTATAGGTGCATATTTTGAAATCCCTGTATATCTGTCTTGGTTAACCCCTTAAGGACTTAGCCAGTTGTACAAGTTGTGATCAAAACAAAACGTAAACAAAACCTGGCATCTGCGCTATATGTCTGTCCAACCATAATTCACCTCTTTTGTATTAAATGCACCCACACTTATATCTTTTTGTTCAGAAGAAACAGGACTTTCATGTCACATCGAATATTTATATATTAAACATAATTCAATATGAATAAAATGTAAGATTTTTTTTTTTAATTCTTTAGTACTCCATGTCATTTTAACTGTGAATCTCATAATACTGTTAGCTGTTACTGCAATAAAATGCACATATTGGTATTCAGTGAAGTCTCACGCGTAAAACGGAACCCACCAAGTGCAGGTTTTATAGTGTTTTGGAAAGTTCATTTTTTTTAGTTTATACACACTGAAATTTACTGGACTGGTTATGATGGCTTTGAGACCGTATGGTAGCCCAGGAATGAAAATAACCCCAATGATAGTATACTATTTGCAAAAGTAGACAACCCAAGGTATTATAAGTGGGGTATGTCAAGTTTTTTTAGTAGCCACTTAGTCACAAACACTGTCCAAAGTTAGCATTCTAATTTGTATGTGTGTGAAAAATGCAAAAAGCAGATTTGAACGATAATTTTGGTCAGTGTTTGTGACTAAGTGGCTACTAAAAAAGACTGGACATACCCACCATTTGCAATAACTTGGGTTATCTACATTTGCAAATGGTATGCCATCATGAGGGTAATTCTAATTCTTATGGCTATCATATGGTCTCAAAGGCAACATAACCAATCTGTCGAATTTTAATGTGAAAAAATGCAAATGCAAGTCTTATTTACACTCTGTAACTTTTGAAACTACCATAAGACCTGTACATGGTGGGTACTGTTATACTAAAGAGACTTTGCTGAACACAAATATTAGTGTTTCCAAACATTACAACTTATCGCAACAATTACATCGTCAGTGAAAGTGCCGTTTGTGTGTAAAAAATATGCAAAAAAAACTGCACTTTCACAGACAATATTTTTGTGATCTGTTTTGCGATTTTGAAACACTAATATTTGTGTTCAGCGAAGTCTCCCGAGTAAAAAAGTACCCCCTATGTACAGCTTTTATGGTGTCTTGGAAGTTACAGGGTAAAATGTAGGGCTTGCGAACCATATTCTCTAGACTTTCTGACCGCGTTGTCAGGCAAGTCCCTCAAATTGTAATTAATGAAATGTAAAAAAAAAAAAAAAAATTATATATATATATATATATATCTCCAAGGTGCTTGCACTCCAGGTAGATAATGACTGATGCCCGGTACGATTCCATAAAAAAAAATCATAGGTATCCAAAACAACGGACTGCAGGGTCTCTGTAAAGTTTTTTTATTTTGTATATGAATTAAAAGTTAAATTTTACTTTACAAAGACCCTGGAGTGCATTTTGTTTTTTTGGACACTTTTTTTTTAATATTGTTTTTATTTATATATTTAGATATATATTTAGATATATATTTAGATTATTTATATATATATATATATATATATATATATATATATATATATATATATTTATAATGTCATTCTAAGTGTATTTTGATTTAAATATATATGTATATTAATATCAAAGTACAGTTAGCGCTAAAATATACTGTATATAACTTTTTAAAAATGTAATTTAATTTTTTTCATTATCAATTTTCTTATTGATAATTTTTATTTTATATATTGGAAGGCATGGCCTGAAGTTGTGGGAGGGGCTATAGACCTATAAAAGGGACTCCACCTTTCCCTAATTACCTTTGTTGGTCAGATGAATAGACTGTTCAAGGTCAGCATTTGCATGAGATCCACCTCCAGGTCATACAAGATGCCATTGCTCCATGAGGTCTCCTACTCCAAGCGGTGTCCAGGAATCCTGCAGCAGGGCTTTCCGTTAATCCAGTGGCTTTCTCTCCGGTCAGCATCGCATTTGGTGTCTCAGAGACTCTAAAACCGTAAGTTGACCCACCTGTCACGCCAGGATTAGTTCCCACAGCGTTCAGCACAGCACAGGTCCTCTCTTTCCATTTCCTTTTATTTTGCACGGTTATTTCGTTACCTTATACTCACCTAGCTGTTCATGTAAAATCTGTTGTTTAAAATCTGTTTTGGTTAAAATCTGTTCGGTTAAAACTACAAACGAAATACAATTTTTTTCGCCTACACACTGACACCTACCGGTCTTTTGGTGTACTACAGGCTTCTTAGACATTATTGCATTTCATGTACAAACCAACGAACGACTGCATTTTTCACCTACACACTGACCCCTATTGGTCATTTAGTGTATTACAGGCTTCTTAGACGTTTTTTGCATTTCATGTACAAACCAACAAACCACTGCATTTTCACCTACACACTGACCCCTATCGGTCATTCAGTGTACTACAGGCTTCTCAGACTTTATTTCACTTCATAAGCAAACAAACTAACTACAGCATTTTCACTTTTATACTGACTCCTATCTGTCAAACGGTATACTACAGGCTTTTCAGACATATGGTTATTCCCCTCATAACATTCCCACTATAATTATAATTACACAATAACACTTCCTTACAACTCATGCTTGCTATGATATAATCATTCCTGCATACCTGCCTACATAGGCATTTAGTTACATTTACTGACAATACGCATACATTTACCCAAGAATGCACATACTATTTAAAGCACTATGCAGGATTCCAGAGTCTAATACGGAATATTTGCATGTTTGCACGCTTAAAATATAAGTCCTTCCAATTACGTATTTTCACATATTAGGTTATTCAGCTGCCAGTCATGGTTCACTACACTCATGTTTCGGGGTACAGTAGTATTCCATATCACACATGATATAACACTCCCGACAAGTTAATTTCCTTCAAACAGGGGCATTACAAGCATACAATAAACATTGGGATGGAGCACTTTGCTCTATTAAACTTGCATAACACACATATGGGTATACGCTTTTAAATGTCTATATTCAATTTTCATACATTGTTTTACCCGTCCGGGATACAGGTATTAATAACCCTTACGACCAGTAAGGGTATCTAATCATACTACCAGGTACATACACCTGCTCATGTGGTATATACATACATTTTCTGTTTCCCCCTGGGTATATCCTTAGCATACTGGCAATTAGGGACTATAGGTTTCCAATAGGTATTCTCCTTTCTTGGCATCTACGCCTGTCGTATAGTGGTCCCGCGAGGCCAACACCCCGCCTCAACGCTCGGAGGCAAACACCCATCGGGCCACTCGTGAGCTAGCCGCCTCGCATGGTATATAGAGAGGGCCTCACCTGTCACTCCCTTCCCCTTTTTTATGGTTACAGTCACCGAGAGGCCAACATCCTGCCACTATGTTTGGTGGCCACAAAAATCCCCTCGCGCCATTGCATAGATAGAGCCTCTCAAGCCACTTGGCAACTAGCAGGGCCTCACCTGTCACCAAACAAAGGATTAATTGTTTCGCCATGTGGCTTTAGCTAGCAAGCCAGTACTAGCACACTGTGGGTTCATATAATAATGGCTATCTTCATGTTTTTAGTATGTATCAAGCAGGTGGTAAGGATTTCTCTCTACCTAACACTCCAGCTAGAGTCAACACACTTTCACTTGGAGAAGATGTTGCTAGTCCCACACGACAATTTTGTCCCAACACAGCGGACGATCACGTTTCAGGCTCCAGGCTCTAGCACCTCTGGTAGTACGTAGAGAACTACCAGAGACAAATTGGGTCATCTCATTCTCTTTGGCAAATCCCAGATTTGCAACAATTTCCATGTTGGCACATGTAGTTTCAGTGCATGCAGACTGTTGCAGATATGTTCTCAATATGTCAGGGCACATGCAAACCATGTGTCCCAATAAATGTACCCTGAACCTTACTTCACGTCTGTAAACATTATGCATTTCCAGTACTTTCTAACTCATCACCCTTCCAGACATTTAGTTGATTTCCTAATCTCCGAATTTTAAAGGCCTTCCGTACAGGTATTGCCATATACTTTTGGGGGAATCTAGAATGCCCTAACTTGCAGTCATCACAGCAGCATCCAACAGCTGGCATTACACTCATGGCCCAAGAAATGGCAGAAAGATTTCTACCTGGGCCTCTCCGATCTACACCATTTACAGTGTGGCACAATCCCATTGGGATTGTCACAGGGAATCTTCCCTCACACTGTAACTGATCATAGACTTATCTGCACCTCACGCCTCGGCTACCCCAAGTCTCAACTCCCTCATACCCTCCGAGGAGTTTTCATTACAGTATGCCACCATTGTTCATACCATTACAGCTATCACTCAAGCGGGGGGGGGGTGAAGCCTGGTTAAGTAAAACTGATATCACAAACGCATTTCAGACTGCCACCATCCACCCTACACTGGCACTTACAGGGCATTTATGGGCAGCAGTTATATATTTCTCCTCCCGCTTAAGAGCAGCCCACAATCTTCAATATATTCGTTGAACTCTCTTCTGGTTGTGGTTAAACATATCCAGGTGCCCCACACTCATACACTCACGAGATGATTTCTTGTTGGTCAAAGGGAACGCCTTTTCCACTAGAAGCTTCAAGGAAGCCATTAGTATGTCTGAACACTTGGGTATCCCAGTATTCCCTAAGGTCACAGAAGACAGACACTATTGTTACATTCCTGGGCACACAACTTGACTCGGCATCCATGCCAACAAGTTACCACATGAGAAATAGGAACAGTCGCAACATCAATTACCACCTCCTGCTTGGTACTTGCAACCACATGGAACTAAAATCCCTACCAGGTTCCTTAAATTTTGCCATGCGCATCATACCGCAGGCCGCACTTTCATCTAAGACCACTTTGCTTTTTCCACATTCCCGCATGATGATCAGGGGCTGTCTCTAGAAAACCAAGCGACAGCAGACCTACACATATGGCGGACTGTCTTAACCACACGTAATGGTAAACTATTGTGGCAGCTGCCGTGACAGCCACCATGGCAGGGGGGTCCCTTATGGTCAAGGTCATGGATTACATGAACCTCCCCAACAAAACTGGCCTTGTCCACCAGCACTCAACACGCTTGCTACAGGGTTTTCCACTTATACAATATGTTTCATGTCGGACGATCACTTAAATAGCTGGATTGAGGTTTCACCACTTATGACCTTCACCTCTTTTTGCCACCTTAAGTAAAAAATTCTTGCACAACACAGTTAAATTTCTCACGGGTATTCAACACTATATGTATTTCTCCTTCCCAAGCAACATGTGTTCCTATCCTCCTACCCCATCCACACGTTACTTAGAGACATAGCCAAGTGGACGTTCCCGCTAAAACTAAATACTGGCCATAGACATACAATGTTCAAACCATGTCAGAATCACATGACCATGCACCTTCCGAGCCACGCACCAATGCAGTTATCAAAACTGCTACCTATCTAGCCTTTAACTGCTTTCTCAGGCCAAAAAATAACTATCAGCGGCCAACAACATAAACCAGAAAGCCTGTTGAACTCTTATCTTCTAAAACACACAGACCACTATGTCCGGTCCCTTCCTAAAACTAAGACGAGTCAGATGGGTGAGCCAGTGCATATAACCTACTACCTTACAAGCAATGCTGGGTGCTCAGTTAAGGTACTGGTTACATTCTTGGACACGCCACCATACGCACCACTGAACCATTACTGTCGCTGTACGATACTGTCCTTACCACAGGTAAGTTCATGCACTATGTCCACCTACTCATTCACCGGGCTCAAACTAAACCCTGGCGACTACTCAGGGCACTCCTTTAGGATAGGAGCAGCCTCCATGGCCTATGGCCAAGACATCCCCGCACACGTTAAGACATGGGGCCGCTGGGAATCATAGGCTTTGTGACTTACATACCATAGCCGATTCAGGAATTAGGAAGCTTTCATTAAAATGTCTACCTAATGGTTGACAAATGCACTATGATCCTGTATAATGTTTTGCATTACTATATGTCTCTTTTTGCCCACTTTTTACCGGCCTACAGCATAACGGCGGTTTCGGCACACCTCAACCGATTATTATACATTATTATATTTTATTATATTTTATATATTATATTATAGATAATGTCATTATAAGTATATTTTATTATTAATAAATATGTAATTATATATTAGATTCCTGCAAACTCTGATATTCTATGATCTGCAAACTTTCTTTGTCTTAGGGATGAGCATAACAACCTAGCAAAGCTAGTGGGTATGTGGCAGCCTCCCGGAGTCAAATGCCAGAGCTGAAAAGGCACGCGCTGTGCATCTGCACAGCAACAGCCTTTCAGCCAATCAGGTAATCAGGAGAGCCGTGCTCAGTGCCGGAATCCTGATTTCCTCAGATTTTTTAAATTGGGAAACTGCGGATGGTTAGCACATTCCACGAAGTACTAAGGATAAATATTGTCCAAAGTGTATAGGAATATAATTAAACATCTAAACACAAAATAAAACAATTCAAGTTGCCAATAGTACAGGGGAACAAAAAAAATGTTTAATAAGTCATGAAGATATAATATAGACTTGGAACTTTGTGTAAAACAGCTGAGCTGAAAACAAGGTAACAATGTATAGCAAAGGAAAGTATCAAATGAACACTGGAACCATTTATCATAAATTGCAGCAAAATAAGTTCAATAAAGAGAAAAGAAATGTTGTAACAAGTCCCAGCAAACAGATTCTTTATGCAGAGAGTCCACGAGAATATCAAACTGACGAGACTACTAGCATCCAATCCTCCTACTTAGGTGGATCTTTGGTTTGTTGGTCTTGTCTTGGAGTGCGGCTATAGTCGGTAAAAACAAAACAAAAACAGAGAACAGTTATCAAAAGGCTGAATAAGCACCAGATAACCTTATGTTTTAGAAAAACAAACTACCACCAGCAGGCAAAACCCTTAACTTAGAGGAGGGTGGGACAGGCGCTATTACTAGGTGGTTATGCTCATCCCTAAGACAAAGAAAGTTTGCAGATCATAGATTCCTGCAAACTCTGATTTGTCCTCCAGGAGACACAACCTCTCATAACCTAGTGGGTAGAATAAAGCTAGTGGGTAGAATAGCACACACCTGGTGGAGGTCCTAAGAAACTGAAGGCGTTTAACTTCTGATGGCCTTCAGTAAAATCTAACAGAGGTTTTACTGGACAACCATCGCGCAGCTTTCAAGATAGTAGGGAGAGGAAGGCCCTTTCCTGCTGCTTTAGTAGCCGAGGCTCCCCTAATTGAATGGCTTTTGAACACGGAAACATCAATACCAGCCGAAGACATGGCGGAAAGTATCCAGCCTCTAATTGTATTAACCTTGGCTGGACGAAAGGGATTCCTTGATGTAATGAATAAATTGACTGATTTCATTTCTAAATACAGCAGAAAGTTGTAGGTACGATTGTAACCAACTGACTAAACATAAGCCTGGTTCAGAAGGATCTTGAACCAAGTCCAATTCTACCAGACCAGAAGAAAAATGGGATGTTTTTTGTCTGCATTTTAGTATAATATGGAAACCTCCCGGGGTCCTGGACAACCAAGGATCTTAAATATGGATTTGAGTTAACTCTGCTCCTCTAGCTGCCAGGGCCAAGGACAGCAGAGAAGCCAACTTAATAGCAGTCCATCTTAAATCAATTTTAGCATTATCCAAAGAATTTAGGAAATGTAATAAGACATCTACATCCCAAGTAGATGTGTAGCATGGGGTATATGGGCAGCAGATGGATAATTCTTTTAGTAATCTCAAATACAGGGCATCCTGAGTAAGGTTGGGGATCAGGAAGTTTAAAGCAGATCCATAGGTCTTGATTGAACTGACCGATAAAGCAGAATGGAACTTAAGGGTAAGAAATTCTAAAGCCAATGGAATGGTATCAGATCCCTGTGTGTTGGACAGAAAAGAAACCTCCCATTCTTTGAATTCCTTGATCATCTTTCTATAGCTTACCCTAGTTCTATGTCTTAAAGATGAGTTAATATCCAAGACCTAATCCGATGAAAGGGGATGTGTTAATAGCCTACCAGGGCTGCGATCCACATCAGCTGCGGTAGCTTGAGCAGAAGATCGCTGGTTCCCTGAAATCAGTCCACTGTCATGCCCAATGGGATCTTGGTTCCCTTGACTAACTGACGGATCAAGGGATACCAGGGTCTGGAGGTCCATACTGGATAAACGAGAACTAAGCTCTGCACCCTGTCCCTGCGGATCTTCTCCAGCACTTTCATCAGTAAAGATGGAGGGGGGAAAGCATAAGGGGCTGGAACATCCGGCCATTGGAAAGACATTGCATCCATTTTCCAAGCTCCCTTTGTCCAGGTCCGGGAGACGAACCTGGGAGTTTGTGCAGATGTTTGGGAAGCAAACAGATCTACCTGTCTCTGGACAAAATTGCTCTCTCTCCATTGGAAAAGAGCAGTCTTTAATTGAATCGTTGCCAGGGACAAACTTTGGTGAGAGAGAGAGAGTCTGCAAACTTGTTCGCCTCTCCCGGAACGTATTCTGCGAAAACCTGAACATTGCTTGCTAAAGCCCAAGACCAAAGATCTAGAGCCTCTAAACAAAGACCCCTTGATCTTGTGCCCCCTCTGTGGTTTATATAAGCCACCACTGTCCTGTTGTCCAATTGGACTTTTACCGACGTCGGTGACTGGTTTAGAGGAACTAGGCCCTGGAGAGCTAATTTTATAGCTCGTAACTCCAAGATGTTTATACAAAGGTGACCCTCTTGGTCTGACCAAATTCCTCTTATGGCGTTCTGGGCTGTAAACGCACCCCAATTGTGACTTGAGGCATCTGACGTCAGAGTGACTGCCACAGGCTGCTCTAACAGGGGACGAGGAAGTGGAATTTCTAACTCCAGAATGGACTTCAATTCTTCTCTGACCTTCTTGGGGAGAACATATTTTGATTCCCAATGGCCACCCGGTCTTAGTTGATTCCCTAAAAACAGCAAACTTCTTCTGCAAAGTAAGGGGGAATTGTTGTATGTTGGTGTTAAAGCTATTAATTTCCCGATAACCTTTGCTAGGTCTCTCAAGGACTAACTCTGGTGCCTAAGAGATGAGTTCAGATGTACCAGTAATTTGTCTTGAGGGATTCCTAGTGACATAGTCCTGGTTTTCAGTATGAAACCCAGAAAGAGGATGCTTTGAGTGGGAATTGGGACTGATTTCTGTAAATTTACTACAAATCCTAGGTCTTGTAAACGGGAAGCAAGGTAATTCCTTTGAGAAGCAAGGACTTCCCCATCTGGGTGCATGAGCAGGATGTAGTCTAGATAGTACAGACACATGAAACCTTTTAGTCTGACATGTGCTATCACTGTGTAGCGGTACTTACCTTATCTAGAGGCCGGCCGAGGTCCTCAGTTCCCGCCGCTCAGGGCTCGGATGACGGCGGTCACGTGTCCCGCCTAGCTCCAAGCGCGCGCTGAGCGTCTCGGGCACACTCTGAAAGGGAAAGTGGGAGCCGAAAATTAAAACGGTCTCCCATTGGCCCCTGTCATCCCACATTCCCCATACACTCACATTTTGGGGGCGTAGATATGACAGGGGCCAATCAAATTAAATGCTAGGGTATTTATACTTACCTCTCCCTTAACTCCCTGCCCTATTGTGATTTTTGTTTCAATTCCCTTTAGCGCTTGTTTTGTTCAGTTGTGATTTTTTGTACTTGACCTTGGCTTTGTATCTGACTCCGTTTATCTCTTTATCCCTGTTTTGTCTTGTTTGCTGGCTTACTTATTACTGTTTACCAGACCTTGGCTAGTTCTTGTTTTCGCTGTCTCTTTACCTCAGAACATTCTTGACTCTGTATTTCTCTGCTCTACGTCGAGTCCGGCCATTCTAAGGTAGGGTAAGACGTATCTGCTCTATATGGTCAATTGTTGGACTAAATCTTGCGAGTTTGGGTAAACTACCGTGACATATTTATTTCATAATTCTGGAGAATGTGTATGGTGCGTTGGATAGGTCAAACACCATAACGGTCCACTGCCACACTTTTCCTTTCCACTGAAACCTGAGAAAACACCTGTGTTTCTTGGCTATGGGGACTGAATGGAAGGCATCTTTTAGGTCTAACTTCATGCAGATTTGGGGGCTAGGTCGGACAGACCTGCTGCATGGAGCCAGCGTGATCTGCGGATGCTTGAGATGTAATTAAAGGATTGGCTAATAATTAGCACTGCCCGACTCTTTTAAACGAGCCATCTTACATGCCAACAGGGATGAAGCGGAAGGTTTGAGCATTGCCTTCTTTTTCTGTCTTATCCAGCATCCGTAATAGTGGGCCCACAGCATCAGCAATTTTGATCTGTATATTGCCAAAAATCTTGTCTGTGGGATCTGTAGATACACTGCTCCCTGTGATAGCTAACAGCAGGATTTACCTCTGGAGCCATTAAAGCCTGAATGTCTGTGATACCAATGTGGCTCCTAAGGAGGTCATCCTCCTTAACCAAGGGGGATCTGAAGGCTAGTTTAGCGAAATCTCTAACCTCAGAATCATGCTCCATAGCAAGTCTTTCCTAGGAGACTTGCTCTGGCCATCTGAACATTGGTTAGCTTCCCTCGCTCAGTGGAAGCTGCTGAATGTACCACTTCCTCGGATTCCCAGTCTATTTCTGGAGAGCTGTATCTGGAATGGCTTTGGGAGGAAGAGTGAGCAAATGCTCTAGAAGAGGAATGATCTAACCTCCAACGAGATTTGTCCTTTTTCTCTGGAAGGTGTTTCTGATGCTCAAATGAAGGAAAAACGCTATTCCTTTTTTGGGGTCCTGTCACCTTAATTTTACGCTTACTCAAATGAGTATGAGTGGGAAGGAGGAGCAGAGAAGTTTTCCCTCAGACGAGGAACTGGCGGAAGAGACCAGCCTCCTTCCTTTATTTTTACTTAAAACTGGGACCAAATCCTCAGAAGATGAAGAGTATAAATCCCTGGCAAGGAAAGCTCTCTTGAGATTTCTAACATTGATGGGGCTGCCTTTAAGAGAGGCATCCACTAAATCTGTGGCAAACAATTAGAGTCCATCAATGATGCCATTTTAAAAACCTGAGGCAGAATTCCCATGCTCAGCACAGCTCTCCTAATTGGCTGAAAGGCTGTTGCTGTGCAGCTGCACAGCGCAAGCCTTTTCAGCTCTGGCATTTGACTGCTTACGCACTAGCTTTGCTAGGTGGTAATGCCTCCAGGAGGACCAATCTAGTTTATGTGCATATAAAAGTACTTATATCATATACGTATATGATCTAAGTACTTTATAATTACATTAGTGAACTTTTACTTACAAAATTATTATTTTTTTTTTTTACACACAGGCAGTAGGGGGACAGACAGAGCTCAGGCAATCCCAGTGCTGGCACTGCATGAGCCAGTTATTCCAGCCATGTCATCGAAAGTATCCCACGGTGGATGTTCCAAGTCGCACTCTGGCGTTTATGACCACCCAGAAAAGGACGGCATATTAACGCCCGCTGTCCTTAAGGGGTTAATCTTCATTTCTAATAAATTAAAAACATTGTTATTGTTCATATTTAAACATCATTAATAGGCAGATATGTCAACTGATGCTCAGTCTAACACTGCCGTCCAAAAATGGATGAAAGTTATACTGCTAATGCAAGTGAGGGCCCAGGCCACTGGTGCATTGGAAACCATTAGTTTTTATAAGGCAGCTCCAATGGTTTAACATAAGTGAAGGATTCTTCTTGTAACACCATAACTACAGTGGCTTTTGCCCAGTGTAGATACCAGTTTGCAAATTCTGAAAGAACCTTCAGTGTGGTACAATATTTTTTAAATAACTGTTGACCTAAGCAATTGAGTCTAGAAAAACAAGGATAGGGGTGCTCCTTGCATAACCAATGCAAGAAGCATGAGTTCTTATGGTTAATAGCATTCCTGTAACATCCCATTAACAGAGAAATAAAAAAACAAAACACTCTGTAGGTTTTAAATCAATGAATAGATTTATTTAGCAATTCTATATTTGCTACATAATATTTTATACTGGAAACACAGAAGTCCGCATGTGCTGTTTTAATATCTCCAGTCAACCTCATCTTTTAAATCCAAGGCAGCATAATTTAAATGTAGATCCCATCATCATTAGCAAGGCATGTTTCACAGTGCCCTCGGAGAAAACAGCTGCAAGATATCCTCCTTAAAAAGATCATGTCTGCACTATGGCGTTCAGCACATTTCCAGTCATAGAAATGGAAGAGATTATAATAATATTCATCACATGGTATGGTGGGTGGACCCTCTGGACAGTCCTCATCACTAGATTCATCGTGATCTCCACGATCCCAGGCATGGCAATAAGCCAGCTCCTGGGCAGCAGAGGAAGAGCTGGACTGAGTGACAAATATCTATCCTCCATGCCATTTTCTTTATCTTCCAACTCTTCTTCATTTGCTGCATAGGCTTGTGAACCACCCACTGCTGAAAAGGATCCATCTGAAATGAGAATAAATGTAAGTTTATCATTTATACGTTAAAATAGATGTGCAACAAATCAGTTGAACAATTTTGGTTGACTTTTCTTAAACAACATGATCAAATATAAAATATAAAACTTAGACCAATAACTGGTAAAGATGCAAAGGAATTCTCTCATGAGATTTCTGAAGTATGCTCATCCACATATACTACTATAGTATTTTATTGAGAATTTTTAGTAGTTGTTTAACAGCTCTGCACTTATACGGAGTATACAAATACTAGTAATCTATATTAAAAAAACCACACAATCTTTGTATTTCCACTATTGTTTACAGCCATCATAAATTCCTATTGGTGAATTATTGATTAAAGTATTATACCTCTGAAGGATCCATCGTGTTAAGCTGCATTTTTCTCTTGGACAAAATTAGTATCATAAATCCTCAAGCTCAGAGTGAGAACAGTCACATTCACATAAGTTACCTTGCAGTAGAAGACCAAAAAAAAAAACCCCACACACCACAAACACTTTACAATTCCACAACAAAGGCAGGAAAAGACAATTTTCAGACTGGTCGCCCTTAATTGATCTCCTTAGGTGGCACTTTAAGAGTGTTAATGCATGAGTGATATGCTTGTTAGGACACAGGGTGGCCATCTTGCATAACTGGAAGGAGGAAGAGGATCATGCAGAACGCAGCTGAAAATGAATGCATTTGCCTGGAAATGCTCTCAAAGTCATCAAAAGATAGGATATTATATTATTTATGCAGGTCTCCCACCTGGTGGACACTCCTCTAGGGGACCAGATGGAAGACTAACACAGACAGACATCACATTCAGACACAGAAGTAAAACATCCCCACAATACATCCTAATTTATTTCCCTCTATCCTGGAGATAATTAGGAAGTAATCCAATTATCTCCCAGGACAGAGGCAAAACTCCAATATACACGT